ACTTCCGCTCCACTAATCGAGACAAAGTCGTCATTCGAACCGTCTCAGGCTTCTGATAGAATTTTTCCTTTAATGTTTTTTTTTAGATCCATTCGATAAGGTTCAAGAATTTTTTCTCAAAGTCGCTGTTTTAAATATTTTGTAAGCAACTAAAATCCATTTCTGGTAACTTACAGAAGAAAATACAGGGGGTCATAAATAGCTCACTCGATTCTTTTCGATAAGACAATCGAGTGGCAAAATCCTTACGGGTTTTCGACGTGATTTTCGGTAAGAAGTCTAGAAACACACGTTGTTGATTTCAAAACACATACGAATACATTGTTAAAATTCTGAATTACTGCATTTACTTGACTTAATCTAATTGACTTAATTAATTAATTGTTAATCAATTTTTAGTTAATTGATATTAATATAATCGGCCTAATTCACCCAATTGGTGATAATTAATTTAACCTGTATAATAGATAGTTCTATTATAATGTCTCGACAATGTGGGTAGTTTTCGCGTAATCTTGCGTACAATATAGGACATTTTTCAACAGTTATTTTCTCAAAAATGGCTCCTTTTATACATACGACGAAGATAAAACAATTGGAGCCGTTTTTGAGAAAAAAACTGTAGAAGAAAAACCTGTATTCTACGCAAGATAACACGAAAACTATCCACATTTTCTACACATTGTAAATGTTAGTATACATACGTATGTAGGAAGGCGAGAAAATAAAAGTGGGAGATAAGGGGGGTGTTTTTATCTAGCCGGCATTCCCGGGAATTAGGTTGGTAATTTCGTGGCATTCTTTTTCATTTGTTAATCAATAGTTCAATTCTGCTAACAAGTGATGTTTGCGATTGAATACGAAATGAACATCTCTTCCCCATTCCGTACCGTTATGCTGTGGCTGTCTGGTGGGCAAGTGGACGGTAGTGATGCGACATCGATAACAAAACATCGATTTTGGCCAACATTGATATTCAAAATTAAAACATCGATATTCAAAATATATCGACTAAAAATAACTAACTAAAATGTTTTTAACATCGATGTTTATAGACTGGCTTAGTAACATAACATTCAATTCATAAGCATTAAAATTTAATTTGACAATATTCGTGTGTGTGAATTCGCCGAATAAGGGTACGACAAGAAGGGGCAGACCATATACCCACAGCGTATTTTTTGACGTCTTAATGTGCGAAATTAATATGAAGAAAGAGGAAATCTCGAGTAAGAAAGTTTTGTCCAGGAAGATAGTACAAACAGAATTCCTTTGGGTCCAACCCATGAGCTGTCGCCAACAGTTATTATTTCATATGTTTCATGTGTACAGTATTGTGATTACGAGAATTTCTCATTCCGAAACGAAACATCAGAAAAGGAAAAACATCGATCACGAAACATCGATGTTAAAAAAACATCGGCGTTAACACACCATGTTTAAAACATCGGCGATAACACACCATGTTTAAAAGATCGGCGTTAATGCACCATGTTTAAAACATCGATGTTTCTACAACATCGACGTTTTGACAACATCGACATCGATGTCGCAACCCTAGTGGACGGACGTGCGCGCGTGGGTGATCTAATGGGTGAGTGAGTGAGTCGGGGCGGGCGTCGCACCCAGAGGAAGAGAGTCAATTTTCCTCTGGAGATCGACCCCCCCGCGCAGATAAGATAAGCGCCAGATTGCGCCGAGTGCGAGCATCTGGGCAGCTCAGCGGCTCAGCGCCGTCTCACGCTCCGCGGCGCTCTGCTACGCGCTTAAAAATAACGCCCCTCCAAGAGCGTTTTAAACATTTCGCTTCGAAATTCTACTCGAAACTGAACGCGTCGAAAACGAAAAATTAATTAAACACTTAGCCGTGTACGAGCTGAATCCGACGGTCCAGTACAAGCGTCCGAAAGATACGCCACAGTTAAGTATAAAGAAGTTACTCTACGATGGGACTACTTTGACAGATCAGGAAATGCATGAACGTAATGTACGGCAATAACATTGAAAAATATAGTAATGAAGCTTGTAAACGACCACACCGACAAAATGAGTGTGTAGATATAACCTGCAATTATGTTGTGGCCAAGTTATAGCTGTTAGTGGTCCCTCCTTAGAGTAATCTCTTTATAAATCCGAGACAGCATGCAGGAGTTACTCTAAGAAGGGACCTCACTTTGACAGATCGAGAATCGAATGAACGTCTTACAGGGCAATGACATCGCAAAATATAGTAATGTAACCTGTAAACGAACGCACTGCCAAAATGAGTGAGTACATATAATCTGCAGTTATGTTGCCAGCAGTGGCCAAGCAGTAGCTGTCAAAGTGGCCCCTCCTTAGAGAAATTTCTGTGTAAACCCGATACAGCATGCAGGAGTTACTGTAAGAAGGGACCTCACTTTGACAGATCGGGAAATGCATGAACGTCATACAGGGCAATGATATTGCAAAATATAATAATGAAACCTGTAAACGAACGCAGTGACAAAATGAGTGGGCAGATATAATCTGCAGTTATGTCGCCAGCAGTAGCCAAGCTGTAGCTGTCAAAGCGGCCCCTTCTTAGATTAATCTCTCTATAGGCCCGATAAAACTAAGCGGATGAAACGTCAATATTGACAAGAAAATTGCGGTAAGCGACACAAAGCGCGTCGAACAGTCAATGTCTTTCCAGACCTCTGTTTCATTTCATGTTTCAGATCAGCCACAGATGTCCGTAAGGATATGGTTGCCTTCGATCCAGAGAAGTGTGGTGGCGTTGCACCACGCGGCCGCACGGAACTGCGTTGAGAGGAGCGATGAGCGCCGCTCTGCTTTACGAACATCAGCATTTCTCACCGAAAGACGACCTCTCGTGGCTTTCAGCACACTACAACCTTCACTTGTGTGCGTGTGCGTGTGTGTGTGTGTGTGTGAAACTTGCTATGCGGCGTTCGCGTCTTGGAGAGTAAAATTTTCTGAAATTTTTTAAAAACCGAAGTGACGTAGCTCCCTGTCCCTGTCTCTTTCACTGTCGTAGGATCTACCGATGCCCAATATTATGGTAAAATATTTTGAGAGATGATGGTATTGAGAATAATGCTTCATAACAAACATATTTGGAATTCGGAAGAGTATTTTATTCAGTTACGAATTATATTCGTAAGATCGTAAGCCGTTGTGTGATACACGCGCGCAATTTTAAATATTCGAAGCGTTCTGAAGCATTCGTAAGCATTGCTACAAACCCCCTAATACTTTCTGCATTAAATCTGATTTATTATAGATCATAGTATTTTTGACTCATTTGTACATAAAAGTATAGTAAAGAACATTATTTGAGATTTCAGAATTAATTCCATTATAAACAACGTGGGTGAAGCGATTAAAGGTGTCCGGTCATCGTAGCGAAAAAAATGTCCATTCGAAATCTAAGTTCTTGGAATAGAATGCGACAATTGGTTAGTGGCTTTCGCACATTTCTTCGTACACAATCGCCATTACCGTATGATGATAGCGTAAACTGAATAAAGGCACCTATCGGCTTATGTACTTGTTCATTATTTCGTTTCCTGCTTTTCTTTCATGATATAATAAACTATCTGACTATGTTATGTTATGTTAGAAATGAGAAACTCCATATTTCGTGGAAATTACATTAGAATATTGAATAATATTTGAAACCATACAAAAATATTTTAAAAGTTACGCAATGAAAACAGTTTTCAGTAATGCATTAAGTTTCGTGAGGAGTGTAAGATAATGGAAGGAGGAGCCTCGGAAGCAGATGATAGTTCAACATTTGAAGTGCTGCGTGCAACTTTCCACCAATTAACACTGAGGTTTTACTTCCATTCTTTTGGTGAATTATGGGTTGCCAGATTGGTAATTTTACGCACCTAAGTGTACAATTGTAGAATTGTGAAAACAAAATACTGAATATTTCACTTGATGACCTGAGCCACCTCAGCCGTCCAATTGTTAATGGTTGCGAGAATAAAAGAGGACCATGAGCGCTCCTCCTTGAGGTCACAACTTCATTAATAATTTTCGAGAACAGAACCTGGAAGTTTGGGAAAATGCCGTTTTTTCCCTTTTCTTTTATTCGTTGTTTGTTTTTGTTTTTCACGAGTTTGACTAACAATATGTATCTCTTAATTGTATTTCTAAAGTTGTTTTAATAGTATTATTCTGCCTATTTTAGCCTATGACGTCTATTTTTGTTATTTTCTCTTATTTTTGTATTTTCGTCATTATTTCCTTGTTTTCTCTCAGCACTGATCTTGACCAAGTAGGAAACACCCCAGCAAGTCTGCACAACATGAAGGCACGGTCGTGTTTTGTCTTTCTGTGGAAGCGAAAGTTCCAGGTTCAGCTAGTGTTAAAATTCTAAATGAGAAAGGCAGATGATACCAGTAACGAGTTTTGATTTTTTGCATTGAATCCCTTCCTACATTTGTGTATAATCTCCGACCCCTTTTGAGGACAGCCTTTTGAGGACTGTGCATGATGTATCCTCTTCGGTGCTGGAGATTAGACAAGTATGAAGAACGAAAACTATAATTTCGTTTTCACTGATGCCATTTCAAGATTCGAAGGGGTCCATAATAATATTTCGTCACAAGAAAAAAGTCATACCAGGTACTCACGTGCAATCACGATTACAAAGAAATGATCGTTTTCTTCAATGTAGGAGCTAATGTAATTTTTACATTAGAATTTACATGGAAGGAAAAATGCTTATTTCAGAGTTAGAGTAAAAAAATGTGAATCACGTAAATTATTGTTTTACAGTCATTCCTTTTAAATAATGATTTTTGATTGTTCTAAATGCCATTTTAAACTTCTATTCTAACCAGAATAAATGTCTTTTTTGATGCCTATTGAAGTAAAAATAATTTCATTTATGTCTGCCTACTGTAGGCAGAATAAACGCCTGAACTTCCGGACCTTAGCCATGAGTATTCTCTTGCAGCACAGTTTTGCCCATAAAAAAAGAACAACAAAAAAAAACAACTCACCTGCAGCAGCAGCGAGCCATCCTGCACGACGAGGCGCACGCAGAAGCGATGGCCCGCGTCCCAGCGCGCCACCACGCACAGCTCCTCCACGCTCGAGTACGGCACCGACCGCTCCATGAAGCCCGACGGCTGCAACAAAGCGCACGCCCGTCACCACACGCCCTCGCGACCGCAATCAACAGTCCACTCACAAGTCAACAATAGAGTGCAATAATTGCACGACTTCCCACGTTCAGGTTGGGGGGCAGCAAGTCAAACCTGGAGATCCTGAGAAGATTCGAAACAAAAACACTGAGATATATATGCAACGCTCCGTGGTTCGTCACCAACAATAATTTGTACAAAGATTTGAACATCTCAACAATGACAGAGACTATCTCGGAGAGAAGCAAGAGGCATCAGAAGAGACTGGGATGCCACCCGAATCAACACTCAGTGAACATGTTGGACAATAGTGAACATGTGTATAGGCTAAAGCGTGAACATATTCTAGACTTACCCTTTAGATTCTCTTCATAGTAACTTCTATCATGTATACCATTTACTAATTGTTCCAAGTGAACAGATTGTAAATTAGCAGAATTGGAAAAAAAAAAAGGTTGGGGGGGATTAAACATTCTAGTCTGTAATAGCTCTCCCTCAATTAGCGAGAACTTTTAACTTTTGTAGACTTGTTCATTTATTTCACATTATTACAATACACAACAATTGAATGATTTAATTACACATAACACAAAAGCAAATCGTGGAACGAATTCGTCATCGAAATATATTTCCGACCCAGAGCAAACCAGATTATACAAGCAGAATTCAAAAAGAAAATAGACGTGAAATAAAAATAAATAGTAAAGAGCAAAAACAAAATTCCAATCTCGGTTTTTATAGAACAAATCTGCCAAACATATTTTCGTAAGGCACCATTATTTCCAACCTCGCGCCGCTTCAGCTTGCGTATGCTGGATGCTTTTCCTGGATTTGGCGGGGAAGGAAGAGCGAAGTCAGGGGACATTGCTCGTGCTCTTAGGAGGCAGGTAAGTTGCACGTGCGGACGCAGTTTGACAAGCTTGCACCAATACAATAAATACTTGACACAGTCAGTCCATACGACTAGGCAAAATGGATACGATGGAAAGAGAACTATTTTCTTTGAACGTCAGGTATGATTCTATGCGGCGTTTCATGAGCAAGTATCCTAATGAATGGCTATTATGCTCTTACAAACTGCATTTTAACGTGATAAACGCCATTTTGAAGTATTCTATAGACATGTCAAAAATGACATACATTTAATTTTTTATAATTATAAAACTGATATTTTCGTACATTATTGAATTTGAGAGTACAAGGGCTTCAAATTATTTCTAATGAAGTTCTTCGAAAATTAAAAAAAATCAATAAAAATGAGCTTTATATAGAGCATTTTTGAAAAAAATGTTAGAACGTCGTGAAGTGATTCGTCCTATAAAGGCTCCGAGTAGATGAGCGTGGGATCAGGCTGTGGGTTTGGAACACGTAAGACATGAATGTTTTCAGATGTGTTTGAGGCATGAGGGACAATCAAAATCATAATCCTACCCTAACCTTGTGGTCTGACAGGCAATTGTATGCAATCGAGAAGAGGGAACTACGAAAAAGTCTTTCTCTAGCATCACTAGTTTTCCATTTGAATGACGCTACCAAAAGCAGTCTTGAAGACAACAGAGTTATTATTACCCTGAAAGATTTTGAAATTCATTGTAGAAATATAGAAAATACCCTGAACACTTTCTGAAACGCAATATTATTTTAAGAAAGGCAAAGTTTAATTAATTAAAAAGTCATCTTCCTACATATTACTAACAAAGAATGCATTACCGTTAAATCTCAGTACCGTTTTTGATAATATTTTTTTCACACAATATTTGATGGCGGTTAAAAAGAAACATATTAAGATCATTTTGAGCCCGCTGTGAAATATTAAAGTCGAAGATAGGGAAATTTTGGGGATAAGATTTTTAAAAGTTTTCTTTTCGTGATTTCCACCAAAACACCGCTTCAAAACATAAAAATACTTCAGTTTTGTTCATAACCATTGGTTATATCATTCAAAATATAACCATATTGTGAGATAATAAGATTTACTAAAATAAGCCCAGCTGCTTCTAATTACAATATTGTCAATATTGTTAAGATGATCAATAAAACGAGTACTATACTCTTTCTCGACGGATTTTTATAAACATTAAGATAAACGTTATGGATTTTTCAACGAGTGTGAAGGGAAAAAGTCAAGTTTTGGAATTTAATATTTCAGAGATATTTCGTACGATTTGCAGCAATTTAGGAGTACTGTAATGTTACCTTCATTTTTATCCCTTTCACTCACGACTTTTTCCGGCTGTTATTTTAATCTATAACTAATCATTTCATGAATGAAATACGTTTGGTTCATAATGACAGTTGGGCTCTTTCACAATTCACCTCACCGCGGAAAAAGTCGCAAGTGAAAAGTAAAAACCACTGAAGATTATAAATTGGATCACTTCTAGCGGCTTCCATGAGAATACTGCATGATCAATTTTTATCATGGTTGCATTGTTGACATAACACCCGAAACTAAATGAATCGCGAATGTCTTGAAACGCATGAGGCAACTGTTTCTTTGTTTTTTTAATTTATTAAAAGGGAATGAAATTTTAAAGTGACAAACTGATTTGTGCAGTAACTTCTAGTGGGATATGAAGGTTTCATTTAGTGAAATTTTGACGTGAAAAAACTGCATAGATGTGAGGAGAATATTAATAAATCACAGTGTAACGGTTGCATGGAAATGAAATAGCACCACACGGTGACAAGAAAATGTCGTGCGGTTCAAGGTTCAAACTTGAACATAGCCATCCTTATACAGGAAATTCTGCAAGTGCTACCCAACGACCAAGGCGTTAAACGTTTGACAGAAGCTCATCAACTCTCCAATGGCATACGATCTGCTACTTCCGACACCAATACTCGACCTCCTCATGTTCATCTATCCTTCCTACTGCTCAGTGGCAGCCCTAAAGGACAATGACAGAGACAAAATCATCCAGTACATGACTTACTGGATGGTATTCGCAGCTTTTGCCACGGTGGAAGGTCTGCTATTCTTCCTCCTGAGGTTCGTGCCCCTGTACACGGTCGCAAGGCGCGCGTTCTGTATTTGGTGCATTCTCCCAACCAAACACAACGGCGGAACGTTCATTTACTACAACGTGATCGACGGCCTCTTCTCCAACGTCACGGAGGAGCTCTCCCAGCTGTCGTTCGAGCAGATCAAACGCGTCGCGGAGCAGATCGCCGTGAGGCTGATGAGCCAGCGGCGGCGCGCGGCGCCGGGCGCGGATGCCGACGCCGACGCCGCCCTGGAGCAGGCGTCGGCGCACCTGGCCGTCGCCGCCCTCGGGCCCGTGGTGAGCGGCCTGGAGCAAATGCGCGACAAGGCCGAGGCGTACAGGGACCAGGTGATGGACCAGGTAAATCACCCAGACGACGCGCGGACCCAGTGAGCCCGCCCCCGCGCCTTTCCGCGATGTCGACCTTGCTGCGACGGCACAGCTCTCCGCAAATGAGAGCGAAGAAGGTAAGGGCAGCGGGGGAAGCGGCCGGGAGGAGAGGGGGAACGATTAGAGAACCGAGAAACCGCGGAGACGGGGAGAAAAGAATAAATGAATAAAGAAAAGTGCCCGGAATACAAATTATCGCAATGTGCGATGTCATTGCCAGAATTTCCGTTGTCTTATAACTCATTGCAGCCCTAATCAAAATTATAAGTTATGAATTCTATATTGTTAATTCTATACCATTTTATCTGAATTACGTTTCAATGGTTATGGAAGCACATCAGAATAGTACATACGCAACATTGCTTTCCGGTATAATGGAAACTAAAGTCTGCAGACGGCGGTCAAGGGAATGTAAGCAAGTGAAATCCAGGGAGAAAAGTGGTTGCTAGTAGAAATGGAGGTAATAAGTAGGCTCAACTTCGTACAATAGCTGGGATACATTTTCAAACAGTAACTATAAATGAACCGCCAGAGTTTCACTAATGTAAGCGCCAATAACTTCAAATAAAATTTTGTATGCAGCAATTCGTGTTCACTTCTTCTCATACCAGCTCTACGACCGACAGTTCGAAGGAAAGGTAAAGACTTCCTTGCATTCGAATACGGATCGGCGGAGAACAATTCTTACAAGAATTTGAAAATATTTGTACTCCAACTATAGAGGTAAAGCGCTTTCAAGTTACCTTTTAATAAATGCACAAGCCAACAAAAGTCAATGTGTATAGTTCATTCAAAATTACTAAAAGTATTGATTAAGAAATTACTTATTTTATCGAAAATAAGATGATCTCTGACAATAACTACAAAGGCATTTAATAATTTGTTGTGTTTAAAACTGTATATTTTTAAACAGATGGAATATTTCATTAACTTATTTTTTGCGCTTTTGAGGATACTTGAGACGTTTCGTTTCAATGGGAATTTCAGGCGATCAGAGCCAACGACACGACGTTAAAACGCAAAAGCGCGTGAATGTCTCCGCGATTGTCATTTTAAAATTACGTCGCGTCAACCGCTTTCAAAATTGAAACTTATGTCTTGTCGACGGCTTTCACAATTTAACATTTCGAAACAAGAGAATACGATATATAGTTCATCTTCCATTAATTTAATATTAAAACATGAAAAATATCTCCGCGAACGGGTGGAGAGAAGAATGTATATACAATTAAATTACTCTTAATTCTCACTCAGTTACGAAAGCATACATCTAAGCTGTATAACACAGCGCGATAGAACTGAGGTAGTACCATGAACTTGTTAAATCAAATCATGGATATGTGAAGAAAGTCTACGAGCAGTAATTACACTCTGATTTGCATTTTTATGATTCTAGAACAAAACAATGCAAATCACCAACTTTTATATTATACACAATAATACAGAATATACTTAATTGTATTAAATATAAAATTTTGTTTATTCATTAGTATAATATTATTGAGCAAATCTAACTGCATTTTTCGCAATCAGGGCACCTCACTATTAGACCGCGCAATAATTAATCTAACCACAACCACAAAAGAGTGTACATTAGAATGAATTAGA